GCTCTGCAGATCAGACCATGGGCTGGATTCACCCTCACTTGGTGACAGCATACCCAGAAGTCAAATGAAACAAGTCTTTAATGTTGCTCTTCTAGGTGTGAAGCCATATATGTCATATTAAAAAAGAAAAAGAGACATCAGAGCAGAAAATGAAGGCTACTCAGGGAAAAGGTAGAGGGTAGATTGGGTGTGAGTCTCAGAAAAGCTCCCACTACCTACATGAGCTTGAGTGAACCCCGGACCTCTTTGCCCGAGTTTGCCCACACCTTAAAGGAGGACTTTGGATCAGAGATCCCTGAGTTCCCTCTGCTCAAAGTTGTCCAGATCACTGGTGGCCCACACCCCTCCCCAGGTCTGCCCCGGCCAGGTGGGCTCATTCTGGGGTGAAACCCCTTACCATTCAGCTCTCTTAACAGCACTAGGGGTCTGTGCTGCAGCAACAGCCCACTCCTCTGGCGCAGGCCCGAGGTGAGCGGCCGGGGTCCCAACAGGAACCAGAGCACAGGGTGGACAACGGAGGTGTCGTTCAGTGTGAGGTCGTATTCCAGAGCCCAGTCAAAGTTGTTCCACAGCCGGCGATGGAGCATGACCTGCAGGCAAGAGCTGTCTGACAGGCCCCCCTCCCACCTGCTCGTGCCCCCGGGGGGCCAGGAGGGCCACTTCCTACCTCCACCTGCCCGTTCCCTTGGCTGGAGACGCCATGTGCCTGCTCAGACAGCAGCACCAGCCTGCTTCGGCCGTCCTCGATGAAGGCGGACTGAACCATGGGGTAGTAATTCTGTGGACACAAACATGGCCAGACTGGCGGTCGTGGCAAAGGAAGGGCAGACCTGCTGGTCGGGGTCCCCCTCTGGCCCCCCAGCCAGCCCCCCCGCACGGGCACAGCAACAGCTCAGGGTGCAGCAGGGAGACTATGGGAGAGGCTCTGACGTTGGAGACCAACAGACTGTCATTCACATGCAACTCCACTGCTTTCTGACCATCTGAGCTGGGGACTTAGCCCACTCAAGCCTCAGTTTCCCCACCCATACAATGGGCCCAAAGACCCACTCTGCACATTCCTACAGGAGTGATGAGGGGCTTTGTGGGGTCCAGCCTGATGTGGGTGCTGGGCCGGGTTGCTACAGAGAGAAAAGGCCGAGTGTGGGCTGCGGGGGGGCAGCCACACCCTCCACGCTCTGAGCTCCTGGAGCAAACGTCCCGGGTGGACCCACAGGGATAGTCAGGAGCCCCTGCACGGCGGGGGAGAGCGAGCAAGCAGGGACGAAGGGGCCAGAACTCACAAGCAGAGCAGGGAGGGGACACACCGCTCTGGGCCCCACAGGAGGAGCAAGAACTAACGTTTACCGGGGGCACAAGAGCCCCCAGTGCAGGCTTCACCTGGATTGTTCCCGCTGACCCTCACAGCCCTGGGGGCCAAGGTCATTCCCTTGATCGGGTCAGTAGGGAGCCATAGGGAGCCGACCCGCTTGCCCAGGGTCACAGGGCTGAAGGCCTAGGATGTGGGAGCTGATGTGTGGCTGGGGCACCGGGCTTCCTGCTCCGGCCTTCTGGAAAAGTGCCATCTGGGCTATCCCCGTGGGCATGGGTCCAGCATGCATCCTAGGGCGTACCCGAGCGATGCTGTTGCTCGTGTGTTCCCGGAAGAGTCTCCGCTGCATCTGGTAGCCGTTGCTGTCCGAGTAGAGGACCTGTCGGTTGTGGAGACTGGTGCTGGTCCTCAGGATGGCCTCGCAGTTCAGCTCCAAGGGGCCCACCCGGTACTCCTGCTCGATGCGACGGCAGAGCAGCTCCCCACCATGGCCGACTGGCACGTGGGCGAGCCGCGAGTAGATGGCGTATGTGTGATTCCTGTCCCTCACCTTCCTGGAGCAGAATTGGGAATCGGTGGGTCAGGCTCTGGGAGCTTTGTGGATGCCCCTCCCTCCTCCTTCCCCTTTCCTCCCATCTTCCCTCCATTTTTCCTCCCTCCTTTCCTTTCTTCCCTCCCTCCCTCCCCACATCTTCTTCTCTTCCTCCCCCTCTCCCTTCCTTCCTTTTCTCATGCCCCCTTCCCTCCTTCCGTCCTTCCTGCAGTCAGGCGGAGGGCAGGGAACCTTCCTGGACCATATAATGGGAAGAGCCTGGTACCATGATAATCAGAACTGGGGTGCCCAGCCTGGATGGCTTAGATCTGTGCTGTCACATGACTTCTTGTGTAAGTCATTATTCCTGGGTTCCTGTCCCAGCTCTGCACTTGGACACCCCCCACGAGGTACAGCACGTGCACTGGAGCCAGGATGCCCCCGTCCAGGGCGATCACGTCTTCATCAGGCTCCCATTGAGAATGACCGTGTGCCAAGCAGCGATCCAGGAGCAGGAATCAGGAACACACATGGACCCTGATTGCCTCGTACACGTGCCCACGTGCACCCAGGGAGCCCGAGCGCACCTGTAGAAGAACTGCCGGATCTCCGTCATGAGCTTTCCTGACACAATCTGCATCCCCACACTTTTCCATGGGCGCCTCGCGGTGTCGGTTGGGATAAACACAAAGTTATCAGATATAGGGCCGTATCTCAAATTACCGTTGACACGGTACTCCATGAACTCCTGGGTCACCCGCACTGTGCGGTTACTCTCTCTGCAGGGACAGGAAAGGGAAAACAGTATTCTATTCATGCACGTGTGTCCTGAGCATTGTCCTCTGGAAGCTGGCGAACAAGTCTTCTATGCAGACACCCACCTCCACCAAAGCGAAGAAAAGAGACCTCAGCAGAACCTCAGTGACAGTCACGAGGCCGCTCGGTGACACCCATGCACGTGGTTCAGATAAAGTCCACGAGACACCCCCTCCCCTGAGCCAAGTGGCCTTAGATCCTTCCATGTGCCGGGGGAACCCCAAGCAGGAGGGCCACAGAGGCTGCATAAGAGGCCCCCGAGAGCATGAGCAGAGGGCATTAATGCTGCCCCAGAGGCAACGTCCCCGGAGATGATGCCCGGTCATCAGGCGGCCAGCAGCACCACCCCACACCTTTCCGAGGGACCCTGAGGAGCACTAGCAAGGACTTTGTCATGCGGACCCCCAGGTGTCCAGATGTCAAGAGCCAGCACCTTCATGCACTTCACTGCCTCCTCCTGACTCCCGAGGGCCGGGAATATGAACCCACTTTGCTAACGAGCCCTGCGAGGCTGGGGGCACTGATCACTGACACAGGATCACATGTCTGGGAAGGGCCCAAAGCAGGACTCAGGTTCTGTTCCAACAGCACAATCTGGGTTCATTCCATTCTGTTCAGATACTGAGGTTGGGACGGGGGATGGGGGAAGGGTGGGCAGAGACTCAGAGCCCTGTAGACACGTGGATGGTGTAGACATGAGTATGGATTGTACCTCTGTGTGTGGTCTAAGCAAAGGCACAGCCGTGTACTGGGATTGGGGCGTGGCGCTGCCAGGAGCAGAACATGAAGAAATGTCCCTTCCACACCCAACTGGGGGATTTCTGTGCGATGGTGGTGGGCATGGACAGGAAAGCGGTGGGGGGAGCATCTGAGAAGGGCCCCTCTGGCCCCTCTGAAGAGGCCAGAAAAGATCGTGGTCCTTAGTCTGGCCCCAAGCCCTTTCCCTTCTGTCTGCAGGCTGCCCGCCCCCACTTCCCTTCATCAGCTCCCCCAGGTGCCGTCAGCTAGGGACTGGAGGAGTCAAACGTGCTCCATCTATTGTGGGAATAACACTGAGCCTGAGGAGGGATGAGGCGCTCATGCCCATGGCACTGTGGACGGACCTTGGACACACGATGCTCGGGGGAGGGAGCCAGTCCCACAGGGCTGCATCGAGTTTATGCCCTGGTATGAAATGTCCAATTTAGACAAATCCAGACAGACAGAGAAGGGTCAGAGTGGCCATGAATGTAGCGATGCTCACATGGGCTGTGAGTGTCCTAACACCACAGATGGGGACCATTTCCATGGCTGAGCTGCATGGTCAGTGAATTCTAGCCATAATGCTGTTATGTAAGAAAGAATCTCCCCTCCACCCACCTCCCTGGGGTGGTCTCTGCACATGGTGGCCTCCCCCTTGGGCCTCTGCATAGGAGGCTCCTTCCATGGAACAAGTATCCCCTCGTCTGAACCCATGGATTCTCTGGCCCTTCCAGTCCTCAGGCCTGGCTCTAGGTGCCTCCTGCACACCAAGCCTCCTCTGAGCCCACTGCCCTCCATTTCCATAGTTTCTCTCTGTGACCAGGGGTCAGGTGCTGGACTATCAGTTTACCCTGGAGGGGATTTCAGGGACCCATAAGGAACACCCAGTCCTCACTCAGCGAGAAGCAGCAGAGACAGACGGGGGTAGGGGGTTGGTTGGCAGCCCATGCACTGTACTGCAGAGACGTGCTGGGTGGGGTTGTGGCTGAGGATGAGGTCATCATGGGATGCACACATGGAAGGCGAGGTGGGGCTGGCTCAGCAAGAGCTGTCTAGCAAGGGGCATCGGGCCTGACTGGAGAAGCATCCTAAGGCCAGCCCGGGGACTCTGCTCTGACCAGGGAGGCTCAGAAGTTGCCTGGCCCTGCCCGGGTTCCACTGCTCTCCCCACTCTTCCCTCCCCACCCATGCTGGCTGCAGTCAGCCCCTTCTACCTGCCACACCCTCTCTCAAGAGGATCTGCTGAATGATGGACATGGCTCTGATGGGGCCCCTCTGCGGGGGACTTCCTAGTGCTGTGAGGCTCCAGAGCTGTGCATAGCTGCCTTCGGGCTGAGCTCCAGGTGCCACTCACCTGGCACCCATGCTCCTCCCCACCCCTTACTTTCTGCCAGCCACTTCTCCCGGACTCCCTGTTCCTCCCCCGCTCCCCATCCTGTTGGGAAGTCACATCAGGAAAAGCAAGTGGTTGTTCTGGCAGAGGCAGCAGGGGTGGAATGACAGCTATCTGGGATGTGGCCTGAATATGGACAGGGCTGGCTCCAGAACACCTGGGAGGCTTTTTCCTGGGGGTCACCTGCTTTCTCTGCTGTCAACAATTAGTTAATGAATGGATGGATATGTAAATGGATGGATGGATAGATGGTTGGATGGGTAGATGGATAGAAAGATAAACAGACATGGATAGATCAAATGGCAAGTGGATAGATGTATGTGTGTAGGCGTGAATGAATGGGTAAGTAGGTGGATATATGGATGGATGGGAGGGTAAATGGATGGATGGATGGGTGAATGTGTGGTTAGGTATGTAAGCAGGTAGATATATGGATGGATGGGAGGTGAGTGAATGGATGGGTGGATGGTTGAGTGAGTGAGTGGATGGATGGATGGTTGTGTGGTTGGATGAATATATACACAACTGGAAGGATAGTGCATGGATGGAAGGATGGGTGGTTGGATGGATGGATGGATGGATGGATGGATGGAGGATGGATGGATGTGAGGGTGTGTGAGAGGAGTACCTGATGTGCGGATGGGTGGTTTGGTGTGTGGATATAAAATGATGGTTATGGGGGTTAGTGGATAGATGGGTGGTTGGTTAGTTGAATAAATGGATGAACATGAAGGAGAGTGGATGGATGGATGGATGGATGGATGGATGGATGGATGGATGGATGGATGGATGGGAGGGTGAGGTGATGGATGGATGGGTGGATGGTTGGATAGATGGATGAACAAGAAGGATACTGGATGGATGGATGGATGGATGGATGGATGGATGGATGGATGGATAGATGGGTGGGAGGGTGAGGTGATGGATGGATGCGTGGATAGTTGGATAGATGGATAAACAAGAAGGTTAGTGGGTGGATGGATAGATGGATTGATGGATGGATGGTTGGATGGATGGATGGTTGGATGGGAGGGTGAGGTGTAGGATGGATGGGTGG